TTGGACAGACTTTATTATTTTATTGTTGATTGATTTGAATTGGTATAGGTATTATCGATTATTAAATTTCCACCATATAACCTTAATTTTGACGATGAAAAGGTGCAGATTCGGTCATTGCTGGATGAGGTTAACGATACTAACGGTACACTTTCAGAGGAGGGCGCACAAAACAAATTTCTTACTGCTCAATCTAGGTTGGTCCACCTCCTCGACCGCCTTAATCGAATCCCTGGTTCAATTCTTAGCGTAGAAGATGAAACTCAAAGAACTGAACTCTTAATCGATGTTTTGGCAGCATTAGATTCTTTAGAGACGGCGTCTAAGCAAGATCCTCAATTAAATACACTTTTTCAACATTCTGATGAAAATTTGGGTAGCCAGAGAACTCCTATCCATAATTCAACTGTACAGAATTTTTCATCTAGACTTCCTATTGTCCAAACTGTTCCACCGAAGTCTCAAAACATAGAAAAATGGAACTTAAAATTTTCCGGTGAAGTAAAACAACTTTCTGTCCATAACTTTTTAGAAAGTGTTAATGAACTACGGTCAGCTCGCAACGTAACTGTTTGACTCGGCTATAGATCTGTTTACTGGGAAAGCGTTAAACTGGTTCAGGGCAAATCGAAATCGAGTAAAGATTGGGAAAGCTTAGCTGATTTGGTAAAACCTCATTTTGAACCTCCTGATTTTCATGCTAGACTTTTCAAAGAAATCTCAGAAAGAACACAAGATATATCGGAGGGTATTATTGATTATCTGTCCTGTATGCAGGGACTATTTAGGTGTTATGATGATCTAACGGAAGAGCTTCAGTTAGATATTGTATGTAGCAATTTTTCACCATTTTATACTACTCAGCTCCCAGTTGTTCGTCCCTTGGAAGAACTTGAGGTCGAATGTCTTAAGCTTGAGGTTAAGAAATATAGAGTTGAGAATTATGTACCCCCATCTCGAAAGCGTCAACAGTTTGTTGAGCCCGACTTTGCATTCGTAGAAACGGAAAGTCCCCATCCTTCTACCTCTTGCGAACCTGAAAATGCGAATAAAGTTGATGAGGTAACTGAGGTATCTAAGGTCTCCCAAAACGATTCATTGCGTAGGGTTACTTGTTGGAATTGCCAAAAAGTAGGACATAAAAATCGCGAATGTCCCAATCCGAGGAAAACTCACTGTTATCGCTGTAGTAGTTCGGGAAACAAGTCCGAGGAATCGTTAGGTCGTACTGTTTCCTCTCACTCAATACCTTTAACGGCCAGCACTCTTGATTTTCAAAACAAAATTCTTCTCGATTATGTTGTTTCACATATGCCCATGGAGATCAACGTCCTTATCTTAAAATCGATATAATGGGTTATTCAATCTTGGGTTTACTTGATTCTGGTGCTAGTCGTACATTGGTTGGTCTACCAGGTTATGAAATACTTTTTCAGCTTGGGTCTTAAGTTAATCAAACAAAGCAGTGCATGTACTGTGGCGAATGGTCAAGTGTGTCATAGTATAGATTATATCCAAACTCCGATAACCTTAATGAGCCGGTCGTATATTATCGATGTGGTTGTGCTCCCTGAGCTATCACATAAGATAATCTTAGGTATAGATTTCTGGAAGGTTATGGAAATCGTCACTGATCTTAAGCAGGATGTTTGGCATTCTTCTAAATTTAATGATCTTGCACAAATCTGTAGTGTGCAGAATATGAGTCACTTAACATCTTCTGAGAAAACTCAATTGGACAACTTAGTTAGTGAAAAACTTTCACAGATGATACAGGGCTTGGTTGTTGTAGGGCCAATTTCACCAACAGTCCGTTATTCTCCACCTATAGGGTAACAGACCGTCAAATACAACAAATGAGCTTCAAGTTCCAATCAACAAATTTTAGCAACCAATAGCTATGAAATGTTGAAAACAAAATACTGACAAAGTATGGGATGACAGCTTGTCATTGAAACATCACCAGCTTATTGAATATTAAGAAATTACATATAATTCAGTCAAAATTTAAAGAAATGTTGGATTTTTGAATAAAATTCATGTTTTAATTACTATTGTTCATTGTTCATTGTAATCATTCATTTACTTGCCGTTCATCAGAACCATTATGGCACCTTAGATTGATTTTCCCACAAAACCATTCAGGTTTTTTGATACCCATACATCATTCATCCATAAAGTTGAATATTTTTCGTTGTTCAGGAACTGATCAAACATCCACACTATATTCACAAATATATGCCTTAAAGCTACCAGCAAAAAAACTACAAATTTGCCATATTTTTCTTTTTTCACGAGTACACATTCTAGGTTATATTTATATTAGACATTAATCAAATTCAAGCGGATAACCAAATGGAAATGGTATTTACCATTTTGGGTTGGTATTTACCAATGCGTTCAAGCGAGTGTAGTTATCAGTTTGGTTATAAGATCCGTGACGTCACGAATCAGCTGTTATATGTCATAGTTATCACAGCAAAATTGTGGTATTTACCCAACTCATGAGTAGTTTTATATTTCTGGGTATTATTTGAAATGTGACAAGTTAGAATTTTGCCGGGTATTGGATATTGTTATTGTACTTCAGCTTCATTTTTGAGAAAAATGATACAGGCTGACTTCAGGTTTACCATAAACTGGAGCACCTTATTAGTTATACTCATTACGGTTATTGGGGACATTTTAAATGCAGTTCCTATGCTTAACAAAGTATCCTGTGTAGCCATATACCACAAGAATATTAAAATATGGCCATATAAACTCACTAGATGATATCCACCTGTATATGGTTTTGCTAATTTCTTTTTTCATCATTTCTGCTGAATCAATAAATGTTTTCTTTGACATGCGGAAAAATTTAGAGAATTGAAAGTTATCATAGCTAAAAAGCCATGGATCCATCATTAAAAAAAAACTCTGAAAAAACATTTCTCCCATGAATATTATGAAAGGTTTCTTATTAAAACTTTCCATATACAGTTGTAGAGGAAAAAGCACCGATTATTAAGTGATAATAAAAATAATCAGAGATTATATACGCGCTTTTCCAAAATAAACAACTTGCAACAAAACCGCGGTTAAAACCAACGCGTTCAAGCGATTCGTGTAACTGACGTCATCACCCCGTGTGTCATCTTGAACCATATTATAACCGCGGCACATAACACAGAAATTTTGGTTATTTGCTTGGATTTCATTATTATTTGATTACAGCTGATTATTGCATTTCAAGACTCATCGAGTGACACATGTGTGGGATCTGTCAACCCAGTCACAAAACATATACTCTGAAGAAGGTTTAATTCCATGCTATTCAATGACAACCCGGTGACTTGTGTGGCCATTTTGTGAGGGTGCGACATGGTTGCCAGATTGTGCATTAATATCCCGTTTCACCCCCCTGGTCACAGTGGAGTAAGCTCCGCCAACTGTTGAAATATACTCTATGCTTTATAAGAGTATTCGTGGAATTTTTCCCAAAATCGTTGCACAACACTTGGAAATGCAAATGACGCCGCAAAATAGCCCCGTCGGTACCTCGGGTTATACATCTTGACAGTAAGGATGTTCGATAGGATCCTATATTTAGAAGTATCAATACATTTCACGAGTATCGTCATTTTTCGATCCGGACTGACATTACCCTGCCAAATCAGACATATCTTTCATCATTTTCAAAGAAATTGTAAAAAATCTTCAAATTTGTGAAGTTAGCGAGTTTCACTTCATGCTTCATGCCTAAATCATCAGTTGCTGCCGTGATATTCATCCCGACCACTGCATGGGGATTGAAAAAACTTCAGTTTGAAGTTAGCTAAAAATCGATATGTGATAGAGCACTGGTTTGGCCTAATGAAGCAGAAATGGAGACAGCTTTACCATATAAAATTGAGACAGATTGTTGATATTGTACACTTTATTCGTGCATGTTGTGTTTTGCATAATTTAGCTTTAAATGATGGCTTTCCTGATGAAGTACATCTTATACCTGATTCCGTTTTTCCACTTGTTCCATAAATAGATGATGAAGCTGAACTTTTGAATAATGCTGCTACAGATCACAGGAATTTTGTGGCTAGGCATATTTTGATGTAGTACAATTGCTTTTTTTACTTGAAACTAAATAATAAGACTTCATTATTACAGACAGGTAAAAGCACATTCCTAAAGGGGAATGGGTATGAATAAATTTTCTTTGAAAGCTTTGGACTCTGTCATTTAATTCTTTTTTCATGCCAATCTGAAGTGGCAATGGGCACAAATGCTGAGATACTCATTTTCAAAAATTACGAAGCCTCAGAGGTGTACATCTCTAACATAGGAAAACAAGAAACTGCCATAAGGTTTATGCATCTTAAGTTGATTCCCTCACCAAAAATATACACTTTCGAAGCTTGATAACTCATGAACGTCTTCCCAGGACATTTTACTGTCAACAACAACATCTAAAATCTTTGTATAATTGACGTTGAAATCTTTTGTTTTGTACCATGTAGGTTGGTCCAGTGTTCTTTTTGAAGATCTTCTAGTTTATAGCGTAAATTAATACTGTAAATGTACATAGATTCATCTTTTAGATTAAATAAAAAGTATTTTTAAATAGTGTATCAGTATTTTAATTTTTAATAATGCAGAATGGACTAAAATACTAATCCCAATTTTACACTCGTTCATCACAGAAATAAAACAACATATATCTTTCATTATAATAACTACAAACACAAACAATATTGCACATAAACACAAGATAACACACAACATAACTACGATTAAGTATCCATTTTGTCAGGCGATCAATTTTTGTTTTTCAATATTTCGTTTCTTTTTTCTAAAACCTCAACTTGTTTATTTTTTATTTGTAATTTCTGTATTTGCAGTTCTAATAAGGAGTCTATTTTGTATTTTTCCAGTTTCAGTATCTCCTCTTGGTATTGTTTTCGGTCTAATTGTATTTGTTTCAGAATGTTTTCTTTTTATGTTTTATTACTTTTTGCTGCTTAACTTTAGCTGCAGAAATCCCAAGCGTTTTTGTTGGTGTTTCCTGATTTTCAGTCATTTCCATGTCCTGTGCCTCATTTTCATTATTTGGTCGAATCGCACCTACAATAAAGTGCCAGATGAGGTAAAAAAGGAAATCAATCTACATCAATATTGAATATATTCGAATAATAGTGCTCTGTTGGTGCCGTTTAAAAGAAAGAAAGCTCTAAAAGTGAAAGTGAAGGAAAAGTTTGAGTAAATGCTGTAAGATTTCTACAGATACTTAATGATGGAACAGTTTGTTACATTAAGTACATAACCTGTTTTCGTTTTTCTTGTTCCTTGAATCGATTACATTCTTTGGACCATATATGAAGACAGTGTAGATTTATATGTATATGCAGCTTACCTGATGTGGCCAGTAGAATTTCTGGATTTATTTTTCTTCTTCCTGAAAATAGTGTCCGTTTCTTCCGCAAATTCAAAGTATTTTCTGCCACGTCCAGTACTGGAATTATTTTCTACATAGCGCTTATAATTTCTTTCCAGCAGCCGCTAACGATTTTCGCAGTTTTGGGGTGTGTATTTTACGTTATACTTTCTCTTCATGTGTTCTGATATTGTATCCTACATTTTTTTTAGGCTTTTCACTTCCTTCCCACCTACTTTCATTCTGAATATTTTTTAACATTCAATTAACATCAGTGTGTGATGTCTTGTCCAGGACGGTGTCCCACCAGTTACATCTCTGTTTGCGGGAAGTACCAGAAATTCTGAAAGATCTACAAAAATGTCAAGTATAAGTTTGATAAAACCTCATATCTATTATTTACACTTATCAATGTCACCACTAACGTCTGAGAATATTTGATTTTGCTCTTACATGATGCAAAACAACTACAAAATCAACTTTCAAATACAAATCACTAGAGCTGTTGTTTTATGTGATATTTGTTTAAAAATGGTTGAATCTTGCAGTGCTGTGAATTGTTGCAATAGACGCAGAAAAGATGTGAAAATGAAGTTTGAAAGGTTGGTTTTAATCATCTCATTCATTTTTGTGTGAGAATTACCTGTTAATTGGTAATTCGAGAAAATATCTGGATTTTTAGGATACCTACAGATCCTAACATGAGGAAGTTGTGGTTACATGCTATAAGAAGAGAAAACTTTACTCCCAGTACAACAACGGTAATTTGTAAAAAGCATTTCACTTCAGGGGATTATGAAGTTAGTGTCCATGGAAATAAGGCACTAAAAAAGGTGGCAGTTCCATCTGTGTTTGATTTTCCAGCCCATCTCGAGAAAGAACCTATAGCCATCGAAGGGTTTTGAAAAGAAAACATGAATACATAATTTCTAGAATGAACTATGGTATAACCTATATTGTATTATAATGAAAAACTGCATCTACAGTATTGTTAATGGCATTGTGCACAAATATTTTGTATACATATATATATATAAGGGTTTTTTCTTTGTACACTTTAATCTCTACAAAACTGGACGTGTTCCCACTACATTTAGTGTTGACAGCTACAGTACTATAAAAATAAATTTAAATGTGCATAAATACTATTTAGAACATTATAAAGATATATAGAAAATAACATGTATTTATTGTGATATTTCTTAGATCTCATATTTTTTATATGTAAGAAATAGCATATCAGAGCAGTTAAGTTAATTATAAGCAGACATGTAATCTCTTTTCTACCTGAATTATTAATTAGTTATGTTATATACTAATGTTTATATCTTCAAATGTGTAAAGGAGAATTTATTGTCAAGTTTCATACATATGTATATATAAATAAATGAACTTGGTTTTTTAATTATAATTACGTTTCCAGGATTTTATCTCGTTCCAGTTGTCTGAATAACTTTTAAATCTCTAAGAATCCTCGGTTTCCTATGCAATTCATTCAAGTCCGCGCGCTTTTTGCCCTGACTAGCTCCATCTCTCTCTCGGACCTCTTTGTCGTATGTTGGCCGCATTATCGTTTCCGTACAAATGGGACGGGGCGATTCCATCAGTGTTGACAGTTCATTGCCGTGGACTCACGAAAAATCCTTTATAAATTTCACCTTCGACAGTGACAGCCGACTTGACACCTGTCTACAAAATTCATTGCTACATAGGTTATAAAATTATAAACAGACTACAGACTAGTTTTACTTTAGGGGCACTGATTTATCAAAGGAAACAAGTAATCTGATTACAATAGTGAGTGAAGTATCTGATACTTATTTAGTTTTGTTTCAGGTTCACTAGGGCAGGTTCATCAGGTGGAATCCAGAGAATACTGTTTACATTGTATACAAAATGCAGAATGCAACATACAATGTCACTAACTAAATCAATAAAGTCACTGGAAAGGATATACAGCATATTATTTCTAGCTACAATTTCTTAAACCTAGATGGAAATCATAAGAACAGAGTTGCAGGTACATAAGACTCTCTGTTTTGGCTTGAGATAACAGACACAGGTAACAGTACAAACCTTTCTTTTCTGAGAAACGATTCTCTTTACAAAAAAAATAATATATACAATTTGTACAAAATAAGTTACAATTTCTGGCTGTATTAGAGGTAATACATTTTGAACTTGTAACAGCCGTTCGTATTCTTCATTTACAAATTTTATTTAATCTCAGAGGTTTTGTAGTTTTTCTATAGTTAAACCTCCAAGCTTTTCACTTATCCTTGTTCGGGCGGATCTGTTTCTTGCATTTTTCTTTCTCAAATCAACTTCTAGAGATGGTGTGTATTTTTTACACTGAAGCAGCCACATGGCAGAAGCTTAAATGCCAGGGCAACACGGCTACTATGAGGAGCTTAAAGAAACAAATCATACTTTCGAACTGTCTAAGGTTAGTAGAACTGAGAAAAGCCTCCTTGTGTAGAATATCAGTACCCTCAGGACAAAGGGGCGGTCGTATCGGCCAGCTCTGAATGTACTAAGTTCGCTAGGTCGCTTCTTATTAGTCAAAGTACAGTACTGTATTTTGGAAGCATTAAACTGTACAAGATTGTTGCGTCCCCAAGGAGTGAAACCCTCCAGGCGTCTCGACAGAGAGCTAGTTGCTGCTAGTCTTATTTTCTCTAGCTCACCTGCAATGACCAGCTTGACACGCTGAATTCCTGCATGTCATCAGCAAAGCTGTGGATCAGATTCATCATATGGGGACGAAGGTCGTTATTATGTAAGAGGAACAATGTCGGAGCCAAGACTGAGCCTTGGGGAACACCCGCATTGACATTGTGGTTTTATTACGACAGATATCTTACAGGCACCTAGCAGCAAAACTCCTCTGGGAGGCCATAGGGTGAGAGTTTGCATAACTGGGCAGCATGGAGTTGAACAATAGTTTACGAATTCTTTTACCTATATATACTCTCCATATTCTTTTTACACATTATAGCACTAAATAGCTGAAAGCTGCAGAACAACTTAACACGTGCATGACACCGACTAGACTCGCAAAACGTAGTCTCAAATGTGATATGTAACTTATCCGTAGATACTTATTTAGTTGATATCCCATATTAAGATATAGCCATTTATCAACTGAAATAACCGCGAAATTATCTTTTTACAAAGCATTATCAATATATATCACTTATTTGGTGCGTGAGGGGGCCAAAAATCAAAACCGATCTCTTTAAAAAGAAATGTAACAAAAAATCTTTATCCACTTATGTCTTCAATTATGTTTTGGCATGTTTTTTAGGTTATTTTGATCATACCATAAACATATTCGAAGTAGATATAAAGATCTCGATATTCGAAAATTTCCATAATCCGTCTATTAAAATTTTCAAATATCAAGATGGGAGTTAGACAGTGCTTTTCAAAAGGACCCCTGTAAATTTTTTTAACGGGTTAAGCAAGCATGCTGAAATTTGGTACAATGAAATCAATGCATAAATAGTATATTTTAAAGCAAAAGTTGAAAACTTAAGGGTGCTATCTTATTACATGTTTTAAAAGAAAACTCATTTTGAAGTATAGTATAAATTCACTAACTTCCAAAATGACGGATTGGTCGGTTGTTAAATTTTTGTCCATGGAATCCCATTAAAACGCTGCAGTATTTGTTATCAATCTTCTCCTGAAAGGATTTGTCTGAATGCGTATTATATAAGTTTAAAAAAATGACATTTTGACACTTTTTTGAGTGGAGTATTCTATATCTTAAGAAATACTCAAATAGATACTCTTATTTAATATACGATTTGATGATAGGTTGTTGAGTTATAAGCAATTTAAAAAAACTCTGACGGCATGTCAGTTCGTCATTTAGGAAGATAGTCATTTTATATTCTTCAGTTATAAAGTATCACTTGATCCCCCTTCCATTTAAATGTTCCAATATGGCGCCCCACCGCCATTTTGGAATTTTCATTTTCCTCTTTTACGTTGAAAAATCAAATTCATCTCTCCGAATTTCAACTTGCTAACTATTTTAACTATTTCAAGAGGTAACTTGGGGGGCTTTTTAAAAAGCACTGTTTATTTTGCTATAAGTTTTTCATTTTCTATTTGACGTACTTGGGATTTTCTTTTAATGGTTGAAGCTAAACTTATCAGACCATCTAAATTATTTTTTTGTTGTTTCTGTCAGCAATTACCATTTGAAAGTGATATCTGGTAACTATATATTTTGAACAATCAAACAAAAATTTATTATTATAATTATTTTTATTCATCCATTCCATTCATGGAAAATAATTGAAGATGCGACGAAAAAACCCGTACCAAAGGTAGGTCTCTTCAGGATAACTCTACAAACACAATCGGTTTAGTACTTAAGAATTATTTATTTAAATTAATTTGAATTAAATATCGAGTATTATACATATTATATAAAAAATGTTTCATAGTCTTCTATAGAAGCTTCACACTCAAACTGCCCAGTGGAGATGTAACAGCCAGCAATATGCCCAGCATAATAGATATCACAATAAAGCTATCTTCAGTTTTTTGTTTATCACCTTCGGTCAACCTGTTCAGTCACAATAAAGCGTTATTCATAATATCGTCCAAGTGTTTAGGTCGTACGCCTATAATTAAATTCTCAAGCGCTAAAGGACCCCGCACAAAGTATATGGAAAATGGGGCCCAGTCGAATTGTCTAAGAATTCACTATGACAAGGGAAAGTCGGGTTTGTTCTACCGGTATTTAAATTGCATCACCTCAATATCTTCTGAACTATAGATCTTAGACGCATTTTTTAGATTGTTTGATGCTCGCAGGTGCGAAAACGTGCCTGACAAACACTTGCAGCCGACGGTCGTTCGTGAATCTTCATATTTGCTGATTTTTGAAAAACTGTTTTACGCTGTTTTGCTAAATCGTACCGGTACAATTTAACAAACTCGTGCATTATTTCTCAGACATGCCTCGCAGGGTTAAAAATTTTGAAAATGGAGCAAGGAAAACAAGAAATTGCAATAGCATCAGCAATAAAACTATACCAATCGGAAAATTTTGGACTTAATGCCTAAACAAATATTCTCAGTTAGTCATAAGGATAATTTAATGTCTTATAAATGTGTTCAAAATCTGAGATTTCTATGTTTGAGTTCAATAAATGAAACTTTCCATTTGTACGTACGGGTTAACCTATTTTGTTAGAGTAACATTTTATTTCACCTTTGTTCCTTATTTGCCATCTGTATATTATTGTAAGTTGGATAATTAAAACGGTTAAATTATCACGACCTTTAGATTCACACACCTGTTCCACTAACAATTAAAATCTTATGCATCTTGGTATAGGACAATTTAAAAACCCCGTGGTACAACTTAACGAATCTGTTCGATAAATTGTACCGTTTGCAACATTTTTTTTAAAAATCCTATTATTCTAAACTCTGAGTATTCATCAGACTTGAGTTGTACGTTTGGAAAGAAAAATATCAAATTACTTCACTTTGAAGTATCGTTCAATTCACACAAGTCATTAAGGAGTTATTTCATAAAATATGTTAGGTGGTACAAATTACCCAACCTTATATTTCCAGGTATATTTCTCACCTTTCTGAACAAAAGTTCTCATGGGACCCAAGCAATCTTATAATTAGTAATAGCAGGATGAAATTAGCCGATTTACTAAAATCATTTTTAAATTCCTTCAGAAAACCATTCAAATGTAGCATGTGGCCCATCTAGGAAACCTTTATAAATAGATGCCAACATCCAATTATGATTTACGGAGGGTGCTAATGCTGCATTAGCGCTTTACCTGTTAGCAACGGCGCAACACGCAAACGTCTGTCTAGCGTTAGATGAAGTAGAAGGCATCTCTAGGAATTTGCTCACGGTTTAGAAACCCAAAAAAGATTTAGAAAATAACGAGGATTTACCGGATAATGTAATAAAATTAATGGGCATCATTGCAAATGTACAGCTAGCGCCCAAAGCTTGGCCACATATTTTTTATATTCTCTCTACGAGATTTGAGTTCCTTATATTCCAAAAAAGTTAAGCCAGATCGTTCGATTTTCCGGAAGCAAATCAAAACAGAAAAATTAGATTAATATTCAATAAATCACAATATCCATCCATCCAATCACCTTCCAGAGCTGCTTTCCAGTGGCCCTGTTGAGTTACTCTGAGTAACTCGGTAGTGCTCAGCACCAATACTGTTCCAATGCGCGTTGTATTCTCATGCATTGTTTCTGGAACAGTTTGGGAACGTATCACTTTAAAACCAAAAACAACTGGAAAACAGCTCTGGAGTCCTCTAGCTTCCATCGCTATTCTAA